GTTTACATGAATCTGTTTTTTTTTCATTTGTCCAGAAACCTAAAAATAATAATAAATAATAAAATTCACAATATATTTATTTGTTTTATAATGTCACCTCCAATGGCCGTAAAGTTCCTGAAAAGGCCTCGAATAGGCCCACGGACCACCAGTTGATGATCACAGTTGTAGCCTGTTTTGCGTCTCTGGACACATTTCATTCTTTTGATCATAAAGGTTGCAGACCCCTGACATAAACAAGGTTGAGTAAATTGAAGTAATATTTCTTTTAAAGAAAATATTTTGCTTCATATTTTCTCTCATATTTTTAAATCAAGTGAAGCGGCGTAAGGTTTGGTATAAATGCTACGTTCACTTCAGCTTGTTGATATTTTAGACACTTTTCTCTGATATTTCTGTTATCAGAAATAACTTTATGACATCCAGTTTAGATGTAAGTCGGGTGTTTGTGTAAGACCCCTCCATCCCCTCTAATGAAAAACAGACAGTCTGCGGTTTCTGACAGAAAACCTGCACGAGCCTAGGTTTTTATTTTTTTCTGTGTCACGTGTTCACATAAATCATAAAATCATGGAGACGAGAGTTCTGCTTCCCAGAGATAAAGTTTCTTTTTTTGACGGTTTGCAGCTTGAGTTGAAAACTTGTGCAGGAAGGAGTGTTCGGAGAGGAAACGCGCAGAAAATGTGTCGACTCTGCAGAAAATCTGTCTTCTGTTCGATCAGCRTCAGCTCCCGTGAAGTGAAGGGCAAGGTTAGAATAGTTCTGGGTTTTTCATTATAGTTTAGTTTTATTTCGTTGTGACTTTTTTAAATTCAGTCAGTTTCAATTAGTTTTTACAGTGGATTTGCTTGTTTTTATTAGTTATTACATTTTTAATGCTTAGTTTTAGATTAGTTTTTATTAGTTCTAGTATTAACTTATTTATAGTTTGAATAAACATATTTGCCAATGCATCCTCCAGCTTGTGATGTTCCTGTGAGTTAACTAACCAGCAGATATTTGGTCACTAGTTAAATCAGTCCATTATAGCAACACCTTCCTAAAATAATTACGTAACTCAATTTTGCTAACTAAGGACTTTAGTGATTTTTTTAGGACAATGATAGTCATAACTAGACGTGGGTTTTTACGATGTAAAAACAAGTGTGCATTGCCCTGTAGCATGGCCTTGCCTGCAGCAGTGGACTTGCAGAATGAAATGTGACCAAGTTCAAATGTATTTTCTACACCAGCTTGTGCCTGTCACGTCAGCAGGTGTTTGTAATGAGGGTAATTGTGTGACAATATGAAGTTTGTAGAGATTTTCTGTTAAAGTTGCTGTTGCTGGTTTTTGAACCCTGATCTCCCACATGAAAGTCCATGACATTGAGGATTAGACCATTGGAGCTGTGGCCAAGGGTGGTGCCAGGGGTTGGTTTGTATGTGTGCAGAAAGAGGCCACATTGCCAATACAATTATTGACACTAAACTGCATATTATTACAACAGTAGAGCAGTATTGACATTATAGTAAAACATAAAAAAACAATCATTAGTATTGTAACCACTGAACTATTGAGATCAAATATTATTAAACTATGGTTCAGTACTGAGTAGATACAGCAGGGGGCAGTATTGGACCAAAACAAGGCTCTATTGACTCCCATTATAAATTATTAAACATTAATATTTCAAAAACTATAAGTTTTACAGGCACCAAAAGGCATAGCCATCATTTGGCACAGGAGCTTTACAGATATAAATTATAAAGGCAGCTCTAGGACAAAGTATGCAGGAGGAGAAGCGTGCCAAAGTGGAGATACTGTAACTTGGATGGGAAACAAATCACAATAGTGCGCATTGCATTGGCAATGCACACTGATTTCTCATCTTGTGTGAGTTTGATTCGTGCAGTTTTTCCCTTGAGAAATATTCCACCTGTTTTATCACCTGTTTCCACTACAACACACTTGATTTGATTTTTCTCGCATCACATTCAAAGAAATCTTAAAGTGGACGTTGTGCTTTCTCCCAACTTTTGTTGTCATCATTTAGCAGGTGATGCTGAGCAGCAGACTGTAAACAAGTGTTGTTACAGACCACAGCTAATTTGAAACTACTCGATTTGAAAAGAATAAATAAAAACATCCACAGGTCTCAAAATAAATTAACAAACATTAAAACTAAGGGTTTTCTATCTATAGTTTCAGTTAGTTTTAGTTAGTTTTGTAAAAACATTATACAGTTTGTTAGTTATTGATTTTTCATTTTATTACAGTTTTTATTTAGTTTACTAAAATATTTTTTCAATTTCTGTTTTCTTTATTTAGTTAGTTTTAGTTAACTGTAATAACTCTGGTGAAGGGTTTAAGGATTTTATGGGGGTCTGCCTCCGTCTCCCCCCGTATCCCAGCATCCTCCTGCAGCACAGAAACTCTGTATTACATCCATCAACTTTCTTTGTTGTTTTTTCCTGTTTGCTCCTCCCTGACACCTCCAGGGAGGAGCAGATTGTAACTCCTGAACTTTTTAGCATTGATTTGACATAGAAAATATTATCTGTGAAGCATTTAAACCATTATTTGATTAGTATTGTTGAATTTAATGTTATATTTGGAAATGGGGGCAGATATATTTTTTCTTCTTCTGCTATCTTTCATTTGATTTTCATTTTAATTTACATGTGTATTTATT